GGGGCTGGGAGGTGGGGTCTAGCCTCCAGAACCCAACCGTGGGGCAGGGCAGCCAGGCCCTGGGGACTTACCCTTCACCACTCTGGCATGGCCTTGAGCAGCCAGTTACAGCCCCTCCCTGGACCCATGGATCCCCCACCAAAGCAGGGACCCACCCTCCAGGGTGTTCACAGCCTGGGACTGGGGTCTCCAGAGCTGTCCTCCTGCCAGAAGAAGAGAGGTCCCAGCTCCCTGTCTGGCTCTGGAGACATCTGCAAGGGTTGGCTCCATGCCCACATGTCTCCATCAACCTCCTCCTGAAAGGGGGTCACCCCATGGACAACCTGCCCCCCCCCCAGCTTTACTCATTGCAGCCTCTCTCTTCCCTCCCAGTCCCCTTGGACCCTGAAAAAGTCCTGGAGGAGCTGAAGGAGAAGGACAAGTTAGAGGAGGTAAGCATGTCCCTGGGCACAGCAGGAGCTGAAGAAGGACAAGTTAGAGGAGGTAAGCGGGTCCCTGGGCACAGCACAGCTTCTGATGTCCCCCAAGGTGGGTGGCACAGGACACCCTCCTCGGGACCTGACCCATCCCTTCTGTGGCAGCTTGGCATCGCCAACATCACCTCTGACAAAACGGACCGGGAGATGATAATCAACGACGAGTTCAGCACACCCCTCATCATCACCATTGTCACCCTGGCCGGCTCCCTGCTCCTCATCGCGGCCATCTACGGCTGCTGCCACCAGCGCTTCTCCCAAAAGAAGGACCAGGTAAGGTGGGAGGGGGGTGGGACAGGTACCCTGGGACCTTCTTGTCCCAGAGGCATCTTCAGGAGATGAAGAGCATCAACGTTGCCGTCTCTTCTGGTAGAGACATCATGGCTTGCCCAGTGGGTATCATCCTTGGGTGATGCTCAAGGGGTGCCCAAGTGGGGTGGATTCTCTGGAGGGGCAGGAGCTTCCCTTTGGGGGTGTTGGGGTGGGAGGCAGCCAGGATGAAAACCAGAGAAGCGAGGGGCTGATGGAGGGGGGGGTATGGTAGCATCCATCCCTGCTGCCACCCAGCTGAGCAGCTTCCTTGAGTCATAATTTTGACAAGAAAAGCTTTCTCAGCCCAACAACCTCCTCCAAACCCATCCATCCCTCCCCACCCAAAAAAGATTCTCAAAAATATCTTTATGAGCAGGGGAGCTGGGCTGGGTGCCCAGCATCACCCCGATACCTTCCCAGGGGTGCCAGAAGCTTGTGGGAAGCCCACGGCTGTTTGCAGGGAGGTAGGAGAACAGCCTCAGGAGGGCATTGACGCCGTACGCTGCCTTTGGGAGAGCTGGGCCAGGGCCAAATCTCAGAGCAGCAGCAGCAAGATTTAAGGAAGAACAGACATGGAAAAAAAAATATTGTTTTTATCTCAAGAAGCAATTCTGGGTGATTTTAGTATCCTCTTGCTGAGGATTTAGCTCTGGAGGAGAGACAGCAACAGAAAGAGGAGGGGAAAAAAAAAGAGGCTAAATGATGCAAATTGGGTAAACTGCCCTCCCGATGGAGAAGCAAACCCCTGGGTCCTACTTCCAGTTGTTTCCCCCCGAAACCAACTCATCCCTCCCAGAGGGTCCCAACCTCTGCCCTACGTGCCAGGCAAGGGATAAGACAGCCTTTGCTTAAATGTCTGCAATCTAACGAAGACAAACACAGGAGGCAGGGAAGAGCAAAGCAAGGCCAGCATCAGGCTTGTTTTTGCAAGGTTTGATTTTTCCAGAGGGAATAAGGGGAGGAACACAAGACCTCGATACATATTTGACCTCTGCTGTGGTCCCCTTGTAGCTCACCAGGATTTGTAGACCCAAGGACGAAGTCTCCCTGGTCACGGTGAAAAACACAGGGGATAGGGAGCAGCATGAAACTCTTGCCCCATAGTTTTCTGAAAACAGATAGAAACTGGGTATTTTTAGCAATGGGAATGCATGTCCCTCCAGTAACATGGGGCAGAGGAACAGGTACCAGCCCCAGAGGGATGCTCAGGAGGTAAATACCCGCCAGCCACAGGGGAAGGGAGTGAAACCGAAGCAAGGGATGCCAGTTCCTCCAAACAGCTCTTCCCATGCTCCGAGCAAAAGATCTTTTTCTAAGGAGTTTCTATAGGTTTTTTAAAAAAAAAAATAAAACACATTTCTCCTTTCTGGATTTCTTTTGGGGTGGTTTCTTTTGTTTTCATCCTTCTTCTTTTCCAAAAATGATTTGAAAGTTGTCTTTTTTTTTTTATTTTTCTCCAACCTCTCCAT